GCTGCTCAGATGTTATCCGGATGTTCCCCTTAGATGTTCCTGGTGCATGTTGTCTCTCTCCTCCTTTATAGTCCTCTTCCACCAATCCCAACTCTGCTACCCACACGCCGAGCACGCTGCTCTCTCAAAGAGAGCAGCTGTGTAGAAGTTGTTTACTCCTCTCCCAGCACCATATTGTGGGAGAGCAGATGCATAGAATAAGTCTTAATTCCAGTAACTTAGTCTAGTCCGAGTTGCTCCCCAGTCTCTCTTCCTGTTTCAGCTCTCAAACCATCTTAACTGTCCTCTTTATGATCTATTTAGTGTTGCATCTGTAACATTTTTGTGCTTTTTGTTGGTGTCTTCACCAAACCATTCAAGTGCAATGACGCACTGTGTATTGTTCCTAAAACATGTTATAGAAGCTTTGCTCAAGCATGAGTTATGGTGCTGATGGTCATGAGCTTAATATTAATGAAGATACTTCAAAAAGCTCATGAAACCTGCATTAAAGGATAAGTTGATTTTTGTGCAAAATCTTTTGGAAATGCATAGGCAATACACATTATCCATGAACATTTGAAGGCCAGTGTATTAAATAAGGTGTCCTTAAACTCACATACACAGAGTTCTATATTAATGTGTTGATAAAAATGTGATCAGAGATTCACAAAGACCTAACTGAGGGCAATGGTTTGGTATTTGCTAATTCAGTCTGTGTGGTAACTTTATAGAAAAAAACTACCATGAATAACAAGAAATGACTCTACCTGGAGCACCATTTCACATGCAAATACACTCGACCTACCATTCTACCATAAAGACACCCAGTTCTGTAGCATCTGTGTGGGATGTGGAACTACAGTGACCAACAGCATACTTGCTCATGGCTGAATAAGACCAATACCTGAATGATTCCCCTAAGGTCTGGGGCAGAAGAAAACTCAGAACTCAAGGTAATAAGTTAATTAAGGTGCTTGATGGTAAACAGACAAAAGCAGACCCTGGGTTAATCCAGCTACCTCAACAAATAGGTTTATGGCAAGTGTAGCATAGCACCTGGACTCCTGAAGTCTCTAGCTAGATTAGGAACAAACAGAAAAAAATGCTTGAGAGTTCTTAGAGTTCTAATGATGATTCAGGGTCAAAACTGCTTTAGAAGACATCAGTAGGGGAACAGAACTATGTTAGACAACTGTTAAAGACAAGGTGTAGTCTTGGCACAGCTTCATGGTTTGGCTGTGGCTCTCAGGGCTCTATTTGCCTATTACTCTAATTTGAAGCACCTGTTACAGGTAAGGTTGAGAGATTGGGGCTAACTACCCCTAAGGACAAGCCTTAACAAAGCCCTCGGCTGGCGCTGTGGCTCACTAGGCTAATCCTCTGCCTAGCGGCGCTGGCACACTGGGTTCTAGTCCCGGTTGGGGCGCCGGATTCTGTCCCGGTGGCCCCTCTTCCAGGCCAGCTCTCTGCTGTGGCCCGGGAGTGCAGTGGAGGATGGCCCAAGTACTTGGGCCCTGCACCCCATGGGAGACCAGGAGAAGCACCTGGCTCCTGCCATCGGATCAGCGTGGTGCACCGGCCACAGCCCGCAGGCTGCGGTGGCCATTGGAGGGTGAACCAACGGCAAAGGAAGACCTTTCTTTCTCTCTCTCTCTCATTGTCCACTCTGCCTGTCCAAAAAAAAAAAAAAAAAACAAAGCCCTCACACTTGTAATATATAATTTGTTTCAGTCTGTTTTGCAAGCCCGTGACAAGCAATCATTTCTCCAACAATTTTTCCCATAAAAACTAAATAAACTACTTTCTACCACCATCATGAAAGAAATTTAAGGCACAAAGTCAGCTATGGAAACGTTTGAAATCTGAATTTATTTACTAGCCCAAACCACTCATCAAAGCCTTTTGTCAGAAAAAATTGGAAACAAAATCTCAAAAGTCACATTGTCAAAATACATGGAAGGTAACTTTGCAATCTGTCATAATTAATACTCTAGTCAAAAATTACTTTTCACACAGTACTTTGAGTCTATATCTGAAATGCAAAACATATTCTGGAAGGAATACTTATATCTCCCAGTTGATTACATTTTATCAACAAACTGCAAATATGGACTCTACAACACAAGTCATTCAAAAAGATTTCTTATAGATTTCATTGCCTAATAAAAAAAACTGATGAGAAACTTATGCTGTCAAACATTTTTATCATTTTGAGTTCTGGCAAACACATTCTTGGCAGCAAGGTAATCCATATGAATAAGAAAGGCATTTTAGAGAAACTTTTAATCTTCAAGATTGAGATTTGTATCAGTCTCTGATGGGCGCACCCCTTCCCCACCACACCCCCAAGCACTTTTTCCTGATTATCTTTTGCATACTTCCCTTACTGGCTGCTGCTACCGAGTGATCTTACAAGACTAATGCTGTTGTATGACACACAGCAAACAACAAACACAGCAATGCAGACACATTACTGCTAATGTTGCCTCTTTAATGCATTTGAACTTGACCTGTTGAAATGCCCATTATAGAACATATGACAGTTTGGCAACACACAGGGGGCAAGACACCATCTCAGGAAAGCAGAATCTTTAAAATAAATCACTCAAAGGACTTCAATGTTGGCAGGAATTGATTGAGAAAATGCAGTACCGTCTAAGAAATAACCTGTTTAAATCTTACAAACAAGTCACCAAACTAAAAGCTTTATACATTAGAGCCTGTAGCATCTGATTTGACCAACGAATGACTTTCAGACACATGAAAACAATGATTATTTACTATAAAGAACATACCTTTAGAAACATGGATAGCATGTCTGTTTCTCTGAAGCAAGTGTCTGCATCTGGCTGAGGCAGGTAGCCATTCCAACTCTGTACACCATACCAGGCTTATCTTAGGACTTAAAGGTAATCATCGTAAGTGTACTGAAGCATTTTTGCTCATTCTATCCATTGTAAAATACTAAGTTCTACTGAAATCCACAGCCAACAAAGAAGCACAAAATAGATTCTTAGAGAAAAACCTTGCAGAAAATGTGGTCTGTGCTTTACTGATGGGAAATCAGTTTTCACAATGTATCAGAACACAGGGCCCTCCGAGTTTAAAGCAAACGGCTTATACACCATGTATGTAAATATGAGATAAACCTGAGAGTTACTCCATTCTTCTTCATTCTCTGTAATTCACAGACTTCAAATCCAGGAGGTGATGATGAATTAGAAAAAATAAAAATAAAAAGCACTAGTTACTCTATGTGTATACATAATATGTGCCATATACTCAATGTTTAGGTGAACTAGAAATCCTTGATGACCAATTACAAAAATTTATTTAGACCACATAATGAATGTATTTTACTTTATTTTGCATGCAGAAAAGCACATATAATTTTTGTATTTAAAATGTTAATGTTTTCATTTTAATGGGCACAATTATGAGATTTGAGAATAACGCCACAAAACAAAAACTAAAACTGAAGTCCCAGACCAAGAATATTAAATTTATTGGTTAGAATCCTTTCATTCCCAATTACATATCTTGTTGAAAGGAAAATTACAAAAGTGTTGAGAAAGTGGAAATAATACCATTTTAAAAGTTTTTCAAAAGAACATTTCTTAAATATTACGTGCTTATTAACTTCACACATACAATTTGTCTGATCATTTGGCCTTGCATTAGGAGGAAAACAATGCTATCCTGTTCTCAAGATCCTGGGGAAAATTACCGATTATTACTGCCTAAAAGTGTAAAATTGGTTTACAATGAAGACATTTAAGTATGTTCGTATGTTTGACTAATTTTTATGCATCTCCCTTTTAAGCTCTATGTAATGTTCTAAAACAGGTTCCCTATAAAGGTTCTATGATTTTACAGTAATAAAATGCATATAAAAATAAAGCTGGTTTTCCAACTCTTTACAGGTACTGAATTTCATTTAGTACTTCCTCTCCTATATTACATAACTCCACACTTTCACTTAACTGGACAAGAATCAAATGCCACACCTGGATTGCTAAGCATCTTGTACAATGATGGGTAAAATACAGGTCCTCAAACTGCAAACCTGCCATAATTGAATGTTGTGGAAGTTGAAAAGCATTATTAAATACAAGTAAAATTCCATTTACATCCAAGAGATTTTTCTTATACTGCATCATAAAGATGAACACACAACTTAAATGTAAAACTCTACAAAATAAATTTTCATGAAAACACATAAAGTAAAATATCTTTAGTAAGGTTAAGAAACCGAAAAATTTACATTATACCCATCTAGGAAAAAATAGGTACAATACAGTATTTCTAAACTATTCTTACTGCTATTTCTAGTTCTAAGACATAAGTCTTGATTTAATTTAGTAAGATATCTCATATACATCTTATCCCGCCCACCCATCAAATTGCAAATAAACATGTAATTTCTGTCACCCTCTGGTACTTCATAAAACCGTTTTCATATAACAGTGCATCTATATCTAGCTACAGTCAGCCTCATCAAAATCAGCTAAGAGGAATACAGAAGGAATTTATTGCAATGAAACTGGAGATTTCAAAAAAAAAAAAAAAAAGAAACTAGAGATTTCAGGAACTCAGAAAAACAAAGAGACAGTGATGCTGGTTGGCTTGTAGACACTTCTCTACGTGCCCCAAAATCAAAATTAAATACTAAATATTTCCATTAACAATGCCTGTAACACCCGAAAGCCTCTTTTCCTTTTCTTGAACCAACGTTTTATTTTTGTTATAGAATATTTGTCCAAGAAATCTCTCTTCACCACCCATCTCTCTTTCCTCCCCCACAATCTTACATAATATCTTCTTGCAAATTAGCCAGAGGTACAAATTACTCTCTTTTATATAAGTAGTATAATACACATCAGGGATGACAGTTTCAAGTCTTCTGATTTCTAACTCAGAATCCTATTCATGCCACACCACTGGAGTCGGCTGAATAAAATGGTAACACAGTCTCAAGTGCTGTAGCCAATTATTTCACTTTCTAAAGAGATTTCCACTTTCCTCACTTCTGATTTTTTTTTTTTTTATTTGACAGGTAGAGTTACAGACAGTGAGAGAGAGAGACAGACAGAGAGAAAGGTCTTCCTACTGTTGGTTCACTCCCCAAATGGCCGCTACGGCCAGCACTGTGCTGATTCTAAGCCAGGAGCCAGGTGCTTCCTCCTGGTCTCCTATGCGAGTGCAGGGCCCAAGCACTTGGGCCATCCTCCACTGCCTTCCCAGGCCACAGCAGAGAGCTGGACTGGAAGGGGAGCAGCAACTGGGACTAGAACTGGCGCCCATACAGGATGCCGGCGCTGCAGGTGGAGGATTAACCAAGTTAGCCACGGTGCCCCCCCCCGACTTCTGATTTTTAAACAGCTTTTAATTAAAAGAGAAGAAAAGACAATTTCCTACTGATATCATTTGGTAAACTGATAATTATCACCTTTAAACAAAGGTGTAATTGCTGTGATGGGCACCCAGTTCTGTGGTTAAGGATGCTTTACTGGGGTGAACATTTTGCACAATGTCCACATCCCATGTTGGGATACCAAGGTTTGAATCCCAGCTCTGCTGCTGATTTCAGTTTCCTGATAATGCACACTTTGGGAGGCATTAGGTGATGACAGAAGTAGTTTGGACCCAACCATTACATGGGATACTTGGATTGAGTTTGGGGCTTATGGCTTTGTCTTGGCCTAGACCCAGCCATTGAAGGTGTTTGGGGAATGAACTAGTGAATGGAAGATCTTTCTCTGTCTTTGTATTTCCAATTAAAAAAAAAAAAAAGATGACAAGTTGACATAAGAGTCTGTCTTTCTTTCTCTTTCTTTCTTTCTTTCTTTCTTTCTTTCTTTCTTTCTTTCTTCTTTCTTTCTTTCTTTTTCTTTTTGTCAGGCAGAGTGGACAGTGAGAGAGAGAGAGACAGAGAGAAAGGTCTTCCTTTTGCCATTGGTTCACCCTCCAATGGCCGCTGCGGCCGGCGCACTGCAGCCGGTGCGCCACAGCCAGCGCACCGTGCTGATCCAAAGGCAGGAGCCAGGTGCTTCTCCTGGTCTCCCATGCGGGTGCAGGGCCCAAGCGCTTGGGCCATCCTCCATTGCCTTCCCGGAACACAGCAGAGAGCTGGCCTGGAAGAGGGGCAACCGGGAGAGAATCCAGTGCCCCCACTGGAACTCTTAGAACGCGGTGTGCTGGCGCCGCAGGCGGAGGATTAGCCTAGTGAGTCGAGGCGCCGGCTAAGAGCTTGTATTTTGTATAGTGATAGTCTTTGGGAACCTGGGGTATGTACTGTGCATCACATCTAAACACAGAACATATTCCAACTATAGGCAGTGAGGTATTTTACATTCATTGATATTTAGCCAGACACAAAAATGTAGAAGATTTAACTACCTTCTCCTTAATCAATGTGTGGGATGCAGTATGTTTTTAAGCAAGTGAACAAAGACCCACATGTTTTATATGGTAGAGATTCCTCATCACTAAAATGGATTGTATAGTTGTATTAAATTGATAAACTGGGTTCACATGAATGTGTTGATACAGGTGAACAAATAGACTCCTGTGATACAGCAGAGAGAATGTTTCTAAATGTCTGCATTTATGAAGAAGGCTTTTGTCCCCTGGGTCGAAGGATAAGAGCTGTGAAATATGACCTTATAATGACAGAATTTTAATGCATGGTATATGCAACTGAAACAAAGCATGGCACTCTCCCCTTGTTTACTGTACATATATTAGAATATTTATGCAATGCTGGCTCTCATCTAAAGGTCAGGGTCTTCTCTAGGTCAAACAGAAGTTCATCAAAGTTCTATTTCTTAAAAAAAAAAAGAATTCTAATCAAAGGCAAAGCTGCTGATAAAATTCTAGTGTCAATGCTAATGTGAGCTCCCTTAACAAAATAAACAACACATTCTTTTACAAACCATAGCAATAGCCAGTTTTACTACAGATTTCAGCATTTATTGAGTTACAAAAACTAAAGCACCATTGTGTTCTGATGTGGTAAATGCCCTCTCTGATCATTTTTCTCCCTCCAGTTTTGCTTTCATGAGACATTTCTTGCCCTACCAGTTCCTAAATGTGCAGCTTATGACTCTGCATTTAGAGGACAGGTTTATCATCTACAGCAACATTCATGTACATCTCTGATAATTTTGAAAGATCCACCTTGCCTTTCTTCTCTTATGTTCATAGGTCCCTTCTTTGCTAAGTGTTGGAAGTCTTATGCTTCTTCTGTTTGGAAGCCTGAGTGTAGGTAGTTTGCAACTCTATCCTTAGAGAATAGTACAGAATGTAATAAAGAGATTTAGGTAATAGAGGAGGATATTCAGACGAAAACAGTGAGTTCTCTTTGTACCGTGGTGGTTGAAGTAAATGCTAATCTCATTATGCCGCACTTTATTTCCTGTCTCCCTAGTTTATAAAAGGCTGTCTCTTCTCCTGGACAAGAAGCATGTTATGGTCATGTGAGGAGAGAATAAAAGTCATTTGTTTTAATATCAATATCTCAGTGGGCAGTTAGAAAATTGGTGAAATTATGGCTCTGGTCTAAGAACCTAAATTTAAAATTACAGTATTAGCATCTCCTAGAAATCATATTGTCAACTATTTGTCCAAGGAAAAGTTCTGGAGAACATAATCCCTTCAGTACAATTTTCAGACTTAAAAATTAATATCTGACATTAGGTCCTAATAGAAGGAAAATAAGAGTAACCAATTTAGAATCATGAGATTTACTGGAAGAAGAATATGTATTTCTGGATCTGAATCCGGAATTAACACTTAGTACTCCCGTCCCCATACCAGATAGCTTTTATGGGGGGATTCAGACTAAAAGAACTAAGTGGTTTACTGTATGTATATTTAATGATTAGAAAGAAAGAGCTTTCAGTAGCACAGTCTGGAAAAGCTGAGATTCAGTCTTGGCTCTGGCAGACTCAGTGAACAATGCTAAACCATTACCACTCTCTGGGCCTTAGTCTCCCCAACCACAAAACAAGAGTAGTCCTGCCCTTATTCTTTTAAAAACTAACTGGTTATGAAATTGTCCTAGTTAGCACAAGAAAAAGGACTTGTTTCTCATGAGTTGAAACTTAAAGGATTTGTCTCATTGGTTTATTTAAAAAAAAATCATTTTTCTTCTGGGTAATCATCCTTAAAAAAAACTTCTTGACTTTTTTCTCTTTAACATAACTTCTAAGCACAACATTATCTATTGATGACAATAGCTCTTGCCTCTAGCATTCACCTTTATTGATAATTATAATTTAAATCCATCACATGCTAAAAATGCTCCGACTATATGCTGATTTGTGGCGTTATAACAGGACTGTATAGATTAAATCAATTTAGCCTATGCCTTGTCTAAATTGTTTTTATTTCTTTGTTTTAAATGCTTGACGTATATCACAGTCACCCAAGTGTCATTTTCAAGTCACTGAGTGAAGTACTAAGCATTTTACTTGTAAATTGAATTAAAAAAAAAACTTACTAGGCCCACTTGTATGATAGTGTATATGAATCTGAGGGTTTTTAAATTATAATTTACATTTAAAATTACAGCTTTCCCTTGCATAAATCAGATGACTCACAAAGATGAAAAACTGATGGAAGGATCTGTTTTATTGAAATTAGGTGCATTAATATAATCACATATATAAGTTATCATTAAAGAGTCAGTATTGCACATTAAGCCTGAACAAATTCAAACTTTTTTTATTAGTTCTTTCTGTTACAGGTTTTTCATAAAATTATTTTTACTCTAAGAAGTGTAGCCAAGATGCACTGGTTATTAACTATGCCCTCAGAGCTCAATCTGCAGTTGCATTGCACATTTCCCATCATTTTTTCTGATTCACCTCCTTTCTACAGAAGGGAAAGGAAGAAATTAGAAGGGAAGGAAGATATGTGTACATGTAAATATACTCACAGTCATTCAGCGTTGGGTGGTTTAGCATGCTTGACTGCTATTGGTGAATCCTAACAAAAAAAAAAACTGACAGTAGCATCCATCATGTTATGTTGTATGCAAAAATTTTAACAGAGGCAAATCAAACTGCTTAAATCAGAGTGTGTTATATTTCATAGCATTTGATAAATATCCACTAAACAAAATCTTTAAGCTATATGAACTCCTTAATTATTAAGGTAGCAAATATAAAAGTCAGGAAACAAACTGATAGGGTCACACAGTGTAGTCCCTACAGCAACTTTAAACCCAACAATTCTCTTAGAATGTTGGATATCAAACAGTGAGACAATAACACTGATTCTGAAAAATAAATTTGAATGACTGATGATGGATTTCCTTTTATGGAGAAAGTAAAATACAGGGTTCATATTCAGGAATGTGACTACACTTTTAAAATCTCCATCACAAAGCATTGTGTGATAAGGGATAGAGATACTGTTTCTCAGTGCCTGCTGGCAGGTATGATGTCCTTCAGTCACAAAGCACAAATTAAAGAATGCACTTTAAAAGGCAAAATAAAATAAAATAATAAAAGATAAAGTGTGCCTAGGAATAAAAGTGGAAAAAAAAATAGAGACCACAATGCTAAAGAAAAAATGTTACTAGGATACATGTCCCTTTACAATTATAGTAATTATATTTTCATATTATGCAATAATCATATATTAAATAAGTTGAAGATGAAAATGAACTATTACATTATTGAGTCTAATGTAGGCTAGGAAAGGAGAGACTTTCCTTGTTAGAATAAAAGGAAGAGAGAAAAATATAAAAGTAGATACTACATATAGCCTACAGACAACAAGCAGAGGTATTATCAGTAGTGAGGAAGATTAAACACAAAGTACCCGTATCAATACAGAGTCTCGTGCTGTATTTTAAGACATCTAATATATATGCCTGGAAATTTTCCAAATTAAAGCTATTGTGTTTATACACAATGTAGAAAACATAATCTGAGTTTCAATGAATTTTTAATTTTCTTCTTTCATTTGTTCAACCATAAACAATTTAAAGAGGACCATGACTGTCAGCCTCAGAGTGACGGAGTTCAGCTCCTCACTAGGGAGTTCTTGACACTGCTATAAGAATCAACAGTGAGCATCTAATAGTTTTCTTTTAATTTGAGCAATGAAAAGTGAATCATCACATCAAATATTCCTCAGGGCCTCTCTGGTTTCCAGATCAAACATGCAATGTGGCTTGTCATCTTGCCACATTCTCTGTATTTCCATTTTAAATAATCATAAATAATAAAACCTTGCTACTCTTTGGCACAGCAAAGCTGTTTGATTCAGCTGAGTTTCAAAGTTTTAGATATTGCACACATTCCTTCTTTAGAGTCCTGGTTCTTCTCAGATTTTCAGCTGAAAGATTCTTTATTGTATTCAAATCTTGTCCCATATGAGTTGCTTTGGTTACTCAGTTTATGAAGAATCTTGGAAAGTGAATTGGGTCCGCAGCAGAAGACACCAACTGTTTTCCTAGAAAGAGGGGGAAGAAATGGAAAATTCAGGTAGAAAATTAGGCAGAACACAATAAGAGTTTGATTTGAGGCATTGACAGGAATTTCCTGTTCACTTGATAATTGAAAACAATTTTCCAATTATTTCCAAATGTAAATGATTTCTAGAGAAATATTTTACTTAATCCACCCTTTTATATTGGCTTTCATGATAATTAGAAAAAAGAATTAACTATGAGCACAGAGTTCCTTATGACCAAAGACTGATCAGCCTGCCTTAATTTTTTCATACTATAGTATCGCTGACATCAGAAACCATACAGAGAATATAAAAGGATACATGTCTAGCCCTCAATGGGCCATGCAGATTCTTCTCTTATTCAACATTTTATAGCCATTTTTCTAAATTTGCCAAAAGGATTTGCATGAGCAGTGATATATATGTGAAGAGAGAGAGGAAAGACATTGCCAGTTTGAAAGGATAATTTTAAAGACTAGTTTATATCACACAAACAAAAAATTTATAATCCAGGAGGGAGGTTCCAATATGGCAGAATAGGGAGGGGGTTCACTGATAGTTCAGGAAAAGATAGTTTAATAAAAGCTGGGATAGGGTAGTCTCAGGGAAGAGTTAGGGAAAAAATAGCAGAGGAAACACTTCCGGAATTAGAGGGACACGGTGGATCTACATGGAGGGCCTGGGCTGCCGAGAGTCTCCACACCAGCACTGGAAAGGGAGGTGAGACGAAACCACAGTAGCTGGAGACACTTGCAGAAAAGCGGAGGAAGAGCATAGAGGGAACGAGGCTTGAAGCCCTGTGTGGGAAAGTGCACCAGCCTAACTAGAGGAAAACAAAAATAAAAAAGATGTTACAGACAAAATTCTCTCTCTCCATTCACCTTACAAAGGTGTGCGAGAAAACAGAGCAGATGGCATTTTGGACACATATAAGAGCTGCTCCAGCTCGGGGCTGCACCTGCCCTCAGCCAAGCAGGAAAACCTGACTCTGGTGGGGAGTAATAACAGGAGACTAAGACCTAGTGAATGTGTGGAGCTAATGAACCGGGACGTGAAAAAAAAATATAAAAACAAAAACAAAACTGAGGGTGTGTGGGAGAACTCATGGTGTGGCTGAGACTTGAGTAGTCTTGGTGGGAGACGCCACAAGCTCAGGCGGCCTTGGCTACCCGGTGAGAGACATTGCAGGGGAATCTGAGCTTACACTGAGGACTGCACAGATCCTTTGTGTGGTCCTTGGGACAGAACAGATGAATATTATACCCACTGGGGCTAGCGATCAGACAATGATCACCATCAAGAAGAGCTCAGCTGAGTGGAATTACTTCCCTTCTGAATAAAAAAAAAAGAGAGAGAGAGAGAAGATTTACCATGCCAAACCTAGGTGTGTCACTTTAGGCACACCCTTAACCCTGAAGAACTGAACAGAGCTCTCTGGACACAACCACCACAAGCCTCTAGAGATTCACCAAAAGCAGACAATCCACTTAATCTAGAGTCATAGTATAATGAGAAAAGCTGCCACAGCAAGGAAAAAAAAAAGAAACCAAAGAATATCTCCACAATGCCAAACAACAAATGCAAAAACAGAGGAAACAAGAACAAGGAAGACATCATGATGCTCCCAAAAGAACATGACACTACAACACAAGATTATGAAGGTGATGAGATAGAAGAAATGCAAGAAATGGAACTCAAAAAAATTATGATAAGAATATTTAGAAGTAATCAAAAACAAATGCATGCACTACTGAAATCCATGCAGGACATGACAGAAACTTGCTCTCATGAAAATGAAATCTTAAGGAGGAATCAAAATGAAATGAGGAATTTAGTAGAACATTAAACTGAGATATTGGAGAGAAATCAAAATGAAATGAATAATTCAATAGAAAAAATAAAAACACATTTGAGAACCTTAAAAAGAGAACCAGTGAGACAGAAGAGAGAATATAAGACTTAGAAGACAGAGCACAGGAAAGTATACAGTGAAACCAAAGACAAGAAGAGGAAATTAGAAATCTAAAAAATACTGTTGGGAATCTACAGGATACTATTAAAAAAAAACAACATTTGGGTTCCAGGAGTTCCTGAAGGCATGGAGAGAGAAAGGATTAGAAGGCCTTTTTAGTGAGATACTAGCAGAAAACTTCCCAGGTTTGGAGAAGGAAAGAGACATCCAAGTACAGGAAGCACACAGAACTCTCAATAAACATGAGCAGAAGAGATCCTCGCCATGACACACAGTAATCAAACTCACCACAGTGAAATATAAGAAAAGATTTTAAAATGTGCAAGAGAGAAACACCAGATTACTTTCAAAGGAACTCCAATTAGACTCACAGCAGACTTCTCATCAGAAACCCTAGGAGGGAATGGCAAGATATAGCACAAATACTAAGAGAAAAAAACTGCTATCCCAGAATATTATATCCTGCAAAGCTCTCATTTGTGAATGAAGGTGAAATAAAGACCTTTCATAGCAAACAGCAATTGAAAGAATTTGTCACCACTTGTCCAGCCCTGCAAAAGATGCTAAAAGATGTGTTACACACAGAAACACGGTCATCAGTATGAAAGAAGGTAAAGGAAGAAATCTCTCAGTAAAAGATCACAGGAAATTCAAAGTATATGTTGGAAATAGACAGATCAACCAGACAGAAGATCAAGGAAACAGTAGATTTAATTGACACTATAGACCAAATGGATCTAACAGATACCTACAGAATTTTTCATCCTACACTGGAAGAATACACATTCTTCTCAGCAGTACATGGAACCTACTCTAAGATTGACCACATACTACGCCATAAAGCAAGTCTCAGCAAATGCAAAAGAAACAAAATCATACCTTGCATCTTCTCAGACCACAATGGAATAAGCTAGGAATTAGCAACTCAGGAATCCCTAGAGCATATGTAAACACATGGAGATTGAATAGCATGCTCCTTAATAAACACTGGGTCATAGAAGAAATAAAAAGAGAAATCAAAAAATTTCTGGAATCAAATGAGGATAACAACACAACATATCAAAACTTATAGGATACAGCAAAAGCAGTGTTACGAGGAAAGTTTATAGCAATAGGTGCCTACATCAAGAAATTGGAAAGGCAACAAAAAATGAGCTATCAAAGCATCTCAAGGATCTAGAAAAACTGCAGCAAACCAGAATCAAAACTAGTAGGAGAAGAGAAATAATTAAAATTAGAGAAGAAATCAACAGAATTGAATAAAAAAATTACAAAAAATCAGCAAAAGGAAGAGCTTTTTTTTAAAAAAATAAACAAAATTGACACCCCATTGGCCAAACTAACCAAAAAAAGAAGTGAAAAGACCCAAATCAATAAAATCAGAGATGGAAAAGGGAATGTAACAACAGACACCACAGAAATAAAAAGAATCATCAGAATTACTACAAGGACTTGTATGTCAGCAAACAGGGAAACCTATCAGAAATGGATAGATTCCTGGACACATGCAACCTACCTAAATTGAACCACAAAGACATAGAAAACCTAAACAGACCCATAACTGAGTCAGAAATTGAATCAATAATAAAGGGCCCTCCCAACAAAGAAAAACCAAGGACCGGATGGATTCACTTTTGAATTCTACCAGACATTTAAAGAAGAACTAACTCCAATTCTTTTCAAACTATTCAGAACAATTGAAAGAGAGGGAATCCTCCCAAATTTTTTCTTTGAAGCCAGCATCACCTTAATTCCTAAGGCGGAAAAAGATGCAGCAGAGAAAGAGAATTACAGACCAATTTCCCTGATGAACATAGACACAAGAATCCTCAATAAAATTCTCGCCAATAGAATGCAACAACACATCAGAGAGATCATCCACCCAGACCAAGTGGGATTTATCCCTGGTATGCAGGGATGGTTCAACATTCACAAATCAATCAATATGATATACCACATTAACAGACTGCAGAAGAAAAACCATATGGTTATCTCAATAGATGCAGAGAAAGCATCTGATAAAATACAACACCCTTTCATGATGAAAACCCTAAGCAAACTGGGTATAGAAGGAACATTCCTCAATACAATCAAAGCAATCTGAAAAACCCACGGCCAGCACCCTATTGAATGGGGAAAAGTTGGAAACATTTCCACTGAGATCCATTACCAGACAGGGATGCTCACTCTCACCACTGCTATTCAATATAGTTCTGGAAGTGTTAGCCAGAGCCATCAGACAAGAAAAAGAAATTAAAGGGATACAAATTGAGAAGGAAGAAGTCAAACTATCCCTCTTTGCAGATGATATGATTCTTTATTTAGCGGACCCAAAGAACTCTACATAGAAGAGTTTGGCAAAGTAGCAGGATATAAAATCAATGCACAAAAATCAACAGCATTTGCATATACAGGCAATGCCACAGCTGTGAAAGAACTTCTAAGATCAATCCCATTCACAATAGCTACAAAAGCAATCAAATACCTTGGAATAAACTTAACCCAGGATGTCAATGATCTCTATGATGAGAATTACAAAATCTTACAGAAAGCAATAAGAGGATACCAAAAAAATGGAAAAATCTTCCATCCTCATGGATTAGAAGAATCAATATCATCAAAATGTCCATTCTTCCAAAAGCAATGTATAGATTCAATGTGAAAGCAATCAAAATACCAAAGACATTCTTCTCAGATATGGTAAAAATGATGATGAAATTCACATGGAGGCACAGGAGACATGGAATAGCTAAAGCAATTTTGTACAACAAAAACAAAGAAGGAAGCATCACCAGATTTCAAGACATACTACATGGTGGTTATAATCAAAACAGCATGGTACTGGTACAGAAACAGATGGATAGACCAATGGAACAGAATAGAAACACCAGAAATCAATCCAAACATCTACAACCAACTTATATTTGATCAAGGATCCAAAACCAATTCCTGGAGCAAGGAAAGTCTATTCAACAAATGGTGCTGGGTAAACTGGATTTCCACATTTCAGAAGCATGAAGCAAGACCC